TGATATGGTCTCGCTAATATAGAACTGCTTCAGTGACATGGTTCGCAGGTCTGCTCCAACATGCACACCAATCGCTGCTGACCGGACATCTTAATGAAGAAATTGTGCAACGCCAAATCCACCTACATATTGCTGATCGACCGAACGCTCTGCTTCGACCAGCATTTCCAACAGGTCAAAAAGGACTGCCGCAGTAGACTCAACCTCGTTAAAATGATCTCTCGGCCTAACCGATCCAACAACCGCGATGTTCGGTTCCGGGTGGCGCGAGCCATCATCAACCCTAGCACCAGTCTACAACAGCTACATCCACTCCAGCAGACGCCGCATGCATCGAAGCGTTCCTTTCCGGTTCTGCTTAAACGCAAATATTGCCAAGACCTCCGGAAACAATAGGATCTTTCTCGTCAACGAGGGGAACAGAGTCCTTCTCACGGCCGCCAACATCGAGCTCCCCCCAGTGGCCAAAGTCCATTGGCATGGAGAGAAAAGTTGGCACTCTTCACGAATCCAATTGGACAACCGGATCAAGAACCGCTTCAAAGGCAGGGGATTCATCCGTGATTCTGCGCAGATCGGTCGCCGCATTGCTTGGGTCCAACTATGCCGACCACGTACACCGACGGATCCCGATCGATAAACGGGTATGTATCGGGATTTTCGGAGACGTGCTCGGTTTTCCTCGGCCGAGGCTGCAGTGATCTTCCGTGCCGCTACGACGTCAGCCAACAAACCGATACTTATCTTAACCGACTCACACAGCGTCGTTCAAGTGATCACACCTCGGAAGCACCAAAACACCCATGAATCCAGGCGATTATCAAGTACGCCCCACCGAACACCCTGTATACATGGATTATCGGACACTGCGGAGTGCCAAGTAACGAGTCTGCTGATCACCTTGCCGGAGCCGGGACATCTAGTCCCAGACTCACCGACAAGGTACCCCTACAGGACGTCAGACTGTGGATCATGTGGACCATTCGAGCGGCATCGGAGCCCAAGAAACATTGCAAGCTTTATAGGGGTTATATAGCATTCTATAATTCTTAATCATGATCTACAGAACCCTCATAAAACTAAAATTGTTACTTGGGAGGCCGAGTGGTTCCGCAATAGAACCATAGAGGTAACTCTAAGATCAGAAGGTCCCGAAGAAACGAGCTCGACTTTTTGGCTCAGCTCTAGTACTATCTTCGGTCCAAAGCTAATCGATGCACCCCTCGAAACATTGGAAAATCCACGAACCCTTCATTTTATCTGTCAAACTTTCATAGCGAATCAAAACAAACATAATGTAGTACTGGAATTTATACTAGAATGGGATACGTTAATCGATTTGCTTGGGACCAATCAAGGCTAGTCAAGTAGTGGGCCAATCTAAAATCGTTAGTTTCAAATTGATTGTTGATAGAACTAACTTCATCCGCAAAGTCAAAGGGTCAACTGAAGCATGGAGCGAACAGAATAACCTAAGGGATCAACGCGCAATTTAGCGGCTTCAGACCGGGCACATCAAACTCGACTATAACTATGGTGACCTGCCGTTCCGCAGAAGTTGCATCATCTGCGGGGTACCCTACACCGTCGAACACATCCTGTGCAACTGCCCGGATTTCCAAAATCGTCGGGAGTCACTCTGCCTAACTTCCAGCATCAGGGATCTGCTCGGCAATGATACTCCGGCCTCGGCAGCACTAGTAACCTTCTTAAAGAAGCCAAAATCTACCACTTGGTATAGCAGGAATTTCTTTCGGTCGGCGGGACATCTCAGCTGGATGGATTTCCCCTATTGGACCCATGCCAGCTGAGCTCCGCTTTGTTCGGATTATTTGTTTGTAGCTTGTTTATTTTTTTTTCAATAAGTTGAAGAGCCAGCAACCAAAGTTATTTACAAAATGTTAATATACCATGTATAGGGGTTACTTACTCTGAGGCCTCTCCTTTCTCCGGAGATGAACTAGCCATAGGCTAAAAATCTCCTTAATAAAGAATTGGAAATCACAATCCCTACCCTGCCATCCATTTGTTACAATTTGTCACCCCTAACCTCGAGATAGCCGCGAGTAATCGGCCTCCGCTTTACTAACGTTAGTTTTAAGTAATTTTGTAATCTAATCAATAAATATTGGCTCCGCAAAGCTACAGCAAATAAGCCTGGAAAAATAAACGCATAATAAAAAAAAATAATTGGAAACAATGGAAATCACATCATCGAATCGTTGGACAGCTTCGGCATTTTCTTGAAGCGGCAAGCAGAAATAATAAGCAAAGCTTTAAGATCTTGGCTTGGCTGACACTTATACACAGAGGCAGTGCAGTGTTGCCAGTAACTTTAAAGACCATTAAAAATTATAACCATGGGTGCCAACAGTGCCAATCAGTGTGTCCAGGTGTGTCCAACTGTGTTTTGGCACACTGTGTGAAGTGACTGCTCCGACATGCACTCCAATCGCTGCTGACCGGACATCTTAATGAAGAAATTGTTGAAGAGGTGCAACGCCAAATCCACCTACACATTATATCCGTTAGCTTTCGGTACCTGTCGTGGAGGTTATCCAACGCATAAAAAATCATGGTAGTTAACTTTTTCCCTATGGCTGTTTCGTGGCTTGACTGACACTTATACCATAGAGGTAACTCTAAGACCAGAAGGTCCCGAAGAAACGTGCTCAACTTTTTGGCTCAGCTCTGGTACTCTCTTCGGTCCCAAGCTGATCGATGCACCCCTCAGAACATAGGAAAATCCACGGAACCCCACATTTTATCTGTCAAAATTTCATAGCGAATCAAAACAAACATAGTGTAGTACTAGAATTTCGACTAGAATGGGGTACGTTAAACAATTTGCTTGGGACAAATAGGCTAGTCAAGGAGTGAGCCATTTTAAAATCGTTAGTTTCCACCGGTTGCTTATACACAGAGACAGTGCAGTGTAGCCAGTAACTTTAAAAACCATGAACAATTACAACCAGGGGTGGCAAACAGTGCCAATGAGTGTGCCCAGGAGCGCCCAACTGTGTTTTTGGCATACTGTGCGGAGTGTTGATGCAACCATTATAGAGTCAACTCGCATGCACAGTATTTAAAAGTCAACTGCATGTTTTCTTAGATATGGTAACCCTATATCAGGTCCATCCGTTGCATATGTGTTAAAAGTGATTTTGTGTAAACGACAGTGAAATTTAATTATGACTGGCACTCGCAGAAAGATACGCATACAATTACGACCGTCCTCTTTGAAGGGTGCAAGCACAAACGGAACGACGACGACGACGGCGAGAGGGCGTGGGATGCAGCCAGAATTTATGAAGTGATTTAAATTTCAACTTACTTGTCAGCTGAAAAGTGCTGTCTGCAGCAGCAGCAGCAGTTGTAAAATCTGACATTACCACCGAAAGGCGTGACTTGATTTGAATTGTTCTGGCGAAATGAAATAGTTGCTGCGTCTCTTTGATTCCTGTCAACTTGGCGCTAGTGTTACGTAATGCACACTTAGGAAACTTTTAAATACTTTGTTAAAAAACTTTCCTTTTAAAGTAGCATTGGTAAGCGAACTGTTGTGCTTCTTAATTATGGTGATGGGAAAAAAATGGAAAAAGTTTAGGAAATTGAAGCACAGCTAGCTGGCAAAATAAATTATGCACACGATTTTGCATGCTTTTAGGGGTGCGAACTGAAGTGGCACGACGGTCTTCACACTCTCGCTCGGTGTGGATGTAATATGACACTGACTGCGTAGGCGTAGGCATCGGAGAAGGACAAAAACGCTCTCTTCTAATTTGATGCTGCTGGCTGTGTCGTCAGTCGAAGGGAACGCAGCGGCCGGTGAGTGGTTTTGACAGGAGGTTAATTAAATGGTATCGGACTTCCGAGGACCACCAGGTGCCGGTGTTCAGATTTTTGCTAATGAGATGGAATTCCGTATAAGCTGTGTAGCAGTGACATTCTCATCGTGTTGTTGTTGCGTTGTGGTGGGTGATAGTGATGGGAGATTGGAGGGGACTGGCGATAATGGCAACAGAGGAGATCTCGGTGTAGATTTTACCCAGATGTCGAGGTTGTGAAATGAGTGATTTCTCGGTGGGCTGAGTTTCGAGAGTTTTTGGGAGACCACGGAATTTTACTCTATTTTGGAATGGAAATGTGAATCCATGCTGTAATTAAATGAATAATCAGATTGTAACGTTCCACTTGGGACGTAATAGCAAGAGCAAGAAACGAGTGAGTTAGTGAGAATAGAGTGATTAAAGCAAATTTCTAACCCATTAAATCAATTGAATAAGGTGCGAGTCAGTGAAAACTTTGAAAACTGAGTGATATTTTGATACACTACCGGAAAAGTTCAATTAACCAGAGTATGCTGTATAACATTTTAATCCTAAAAGATATGCTATATGTCCCGAAGACTTCACGCAAATCCTCCTGTATATGCGTCTAAATAATCTACAAAACGTTTGGTATATATTTGGATAAAACTGAAATTCAAAGTGTAGACCCACCGTGAAACTGCGATACATTGTACAGCGGACAGACAATTTCGGATTACCGTGGGATTAAATGATTTCAGATGCAACCATTTCCGTTCGCATTGCATCGCTCGGAACCGAGTGACGGATTATCATTGATTACAATGTCTCTCCCTGATTGCATCACATCTGAAGCATACCGTATTCATCACATTCCCGTTCATCTCGCGTGTATACAACATCACGAAAGCATCCGCTTTGCCAAATCTTGACTAATTGTTTGAAATTTCTCTTTTTCTCTCTTTTCCTAACCTCTTTTTCTCGTTTTATTGAACTACACACCTACACATTACTTCACTCGAACCGTGCACGAAATTCTGTGACCGCGCGAATGATCCCACCAAAACTGTGACCTCGCACTACTTGTACTACCGCTACCGTCAAACACCAACTCTATACTACTACCACTACCACTTCTACCACTACTACTACTACTACTTCAAACCCCGAACCAAAATCGAAAACCTCCAGCGACGGGCGCTGAGCTTGTCATAGACGCATCGGCCGGGGTCGCCGTAGCTAGTGCGTACACGGACTCACGATCCCGTATCTCGATGGTGCAGTATTTGGAACCCCTGTCCAGACCTACCAAGGCACCAAGTATGTTGAAACAAATCGAATTTTCCACTGAATTTACAATACATTGCAATCGAAACCAACCAACCAACCATAACCTCATCATCCCAACCAAAAAATGTCCAGTAACGTAACCAATAGGCGCAGAATTCTATCGCTCGCTCTCTTTGTGCCACAAAACCTCCGTGTATCGCTCTTTCTCTCTCTATCTCTTTCTGTATTTTACTCACTCTCACTCACTCACTCACTCACTGTTGTTGCCAAGCGGTGTGCGTTCTTGTTCCGTATCTATGCAGTACAAAATCTATGGCTACTTAGCTCCAGGTGTTGACGGGATGAGCCCTCCCAAAGCGGGACATCAATTTACCGTCAACTCGGAGATTTTAGTTTTCCTCTCAATGTTCGACGTTACAAACACTACAGTCTACTCACGCCACAAACAAATAAACAAACAAACAACACTAGTGCTGGTTTACTAATTAGATTGGTAGTAGTAGAATAGCATTTTCTGTTACAGTTGTAATAGGTAGTTACTTTTTGCTTAGTAGAATCTAGTAGAATAATGCTTAACTTGTAACACTTTGAAAAATCGAAATGTAGCATCATATCTCGTATGCAGTTATTTATGGGGATCAACCAATTGAGTTTCTGTATGCCTTTGTAGAATAAAATTAAGGACAAGTTTGTTCCACCATTTGTTTCACTGCTTCGCGTGTTCTCGGCCGCATAACTGACGCTGCCCGAGCAGGAACGAATATCTCGATACCTTGAATTGGTATGGATTAGCCGGACATAAGAGGTAAAGTACCAACAAACAATTTTCCCACAATACCATTCCAATACCAAATTGAGCAAATGCAATACCAAAACAATACTACAAATGTATTCTTTTGGTATCCAAATATCAATTTCTGATATTTTCCAGGTATTTTTCATGCAGTTTGTTGGTATTATTCTTTGGTATTTTACCTCTTATGTCAAGCTGATCGACACCAAATTTTGGAATCAGATCAGAATTACGTATTTTCTCCCGCTCGGGTGACGATCAAAATAATGTACGAAGCTGAAAATGCTACTCAGTGTTGACTATAAAGAAGCAGATATCGAGCTATATTTTCAGATCTACATGGCTTCTGGATGCTGAGCAGTGTACCTCCGAAACAGCGAAGTGATGCAATAAAATAATATCAAATTTAGTTAGTAGATTAGTTAGTAGCTATGACGACCAATTGGCAACATTTTATAAACAAATTCCTCTGAACGTATAAAGTAGTTGATTGCACGTCACACCATTTCGAAGCTGCACATTGACCATAATTATAACATCAGCAAAAACCGAATTAAAATAACTTCCACTTGTTGTTGGATCCATCTTCACGTTCACCACCGTCATCGCCGTCGTAAAATTTGCGGCATCAATTAAAACTTTTTCCCAAGCACGACCAGTTTTCATTAACTCACCATGTTCAAAGTCGCGTTGAGCTGAAAGTTTTACGTTTCTCGTCCTGAATACTCGCTGGTCCTCGTGTTGTTTTCTTCCCACAGGATGATGTTTATGATCTGCAAAAACAACAACAAACGAAAGCACTAAATTAACTACGTTAAATACTCACTGGTAAAGACGACAGCTCATAAAAATATATACAAAAACTTACCGCAATTAAGTCATCGTTGTCAACATTTCATTAGGACGAAATTGCTTTGGTAATCAAAGACATCAACCGCTGATTTCTCGCAAATAAAAACTCACTCCTGCAATGCATCCATACGGTAGAAGAAACATCCCTCTACTTGATCTACTTGAAATCTACGGCTAAATCCAAACCTGAATGTATTCACCTATGGTGAAATTTGACATTTCTTATGTCACGGATACACTTGGATGACAAACTATGAGCATGAGCATTATTTTTATAATAACTATGATCACTATACAACAACTATACAAGTTTAGTTTAATAATTTATTATGCAAATAATGCTCATGTTCATAGTTTGTCCACAGACAAACAGACGTAACTCTTTGAAAAAGTTTTTCTTGAAAACATAGTATATCCAAACATGGGACCTCAGTAACGACATCTCTCGGGCTTCTCGCGGAAAACAAGCTTGCTCGCTAACTCGCAATCAATATTGCATAAAAGTTCTATAGAATGTATAGAAACGTCAAAGTGATGCGATGCCAGCGCTGCGGCGAGTAGTTCGCGGAATTGATAATATTCAAATCAACCGGTAAATGCGTGAACGAAGATACACAATGAAGAGTTACGTCTGTTTGTCTGTGGGTTGTCATACAATTGTATCCGCGGCATTACTTATTTAAATTTCAACTATAGGCCTCTTTAAGGTGTTTCCTTGAAGAGTCCATTTTTCCATCACATCTCGCAATTTCAAGAGCACACAGCTCGAGATCTACGAGGTTTATACATCTGCAAATTTCAGACATTGCTTGCTTCTCCGAAGCAAACAACAAGTAGTAGTTTCAGCTACGTGCATTCACAGAATCCTTATTATTTTTACATGTGAAATTGCGAAGTGTAACACGCAAAAGGACGCTACACCACCAACGCAGAGTGCGCCACGCGAGTTCGAGAGGAAGCGTCAAACAAACCGTCTGTTTACATATGAATAAGGATTTTTCACAACGCGAATTAGATCTTTTTGCATTGAACATCTTGCCAATTTCCTTCGGTAATTGTCTTATTTTACGATTTTCCACAGATCTGAACTGATTTGTACCTCAACTATTCATACTCAAGAATCCCGGAAGTTCATAACCACTATAAGGCACTATTCTCATTTTCCATTTTTCTCAGCAAAAATACTCCTGAACACCAGCAGGATCGATTGAGTGTTCACTCGGCTGTCGACAAAAGCAGGCCACTCTCGATGTGTGCCACGCGATCGTCTGTTTTCTCGGCAGCAACCATTGTGTGGTCCTCCTCATTGTTCTTCATCAGCAGTTCTTTCGGTCGATGCGTCGTCAACTTTGGAAAGCAACCGTTTCGTGATGAGTGTGTGAGTGCTGACCACGTTTTGCGTCCAATGGACGCGCTCTGACCCTCGTTGGCGTAACTGCCATACAATGAAACTACTGGAAGCGGCTCCAGTTCTGATGGAGGAAGCTTTTTGGATAGTGGAAGATAAAGTGTTTATTGTGTTGTACCTTTTGACTATAGTTTTAAGATATGTATTGTATAGTGACCAAGAATTCTCGGCTCTGTAAAGTTAATTCTCTAAAGAAAGACGTATGTTCAGTAGGAAGTCTGGTTTAATACTACATAAAGTTTTCAGTTGTTGATAACGGGTAAACAAGTTCTTAACTACAGAAATCAACTGCACCTTCGATCCAACTCTTCACCCCCTCTCAGTTGATGGTCTCCAATCCTATCTTCGTTCTCAAAAGTGTTAAAGCCGGGGCTGGTAGTGACTGTGTAAGAATGTCCGCTTCTTGCTTCTGGGTTGGAGCATATACAAGTTTCACCTTTCCGTCTGCAACCACCTTCTCGAATAAAATGAAACTTGACATCTATATGCTTGACACGTTTCGTCTCCTCCTTCTCTGCCATAGCTATAGCGCCTTGGTTGTCCTCGTAGATTGGTACAGGATACAAGTTTGATTCACACAAATCGGATAGCAGTCCAGTAAGCCAAATGTAATGTAAGTAATGCGATGTACTCAGCTTCTGTGGATGACATTGCTACTGTGCGCTGCTTCTTGGACGACCACACGACAGTACATCAAGAATCCAGAAACACACTTACGATCCTCCTCGCCGTTTCCATAGTCAGCATCAACAAACACAGCGACTGGTCGTTCATGCGGGTTCCTCTTAAAAATCAGCCTTAGGTCTTTTGTCGCTTGAAGATAACGCAGTACTCGTTTGGCATGCTTCCAGTGTTCCTTTCCTGCAGCATCTTGGAATCTTGCCAAATAGCCCACAACGTAGCACAGGTCTGGTCTTGAGCCCAGCATCAGGAACATAAGACTGCCAACCAGTTCTCGATACGGATAGTTGCATCCTTCAGTGGTCTTTCGAAGCTGCAACTTAGTTTCAGCGGGTGTGTGGGCAGGTTTACAGCCGTCCATTCCGAAACGTACTAGTATTTTTCGGATTAGTGCTTCTTGAGACAAATACAAAGTACCTTCCTCGTCACGTTCTATCTTGATTCCCAAAAAGTGATGTAGTTCGTTCAAATCCGTCATTTCAAATTCTCGTTTCAATCGATCTTTAAATCTCCTCAATAATGCGCAGATCGCCCACAACTACGAGCAAATCGTCCACATAGATAACGATGTAAGCGATTTGATTTCCTTGTCCACGCACGTATACGCAGTAGTCGTGTCGGGAACGACGAAATCCCATGCTCACCAAAACTTCATTAAAGCGACCGTTCCAACAGCAAGGTGATTGCTTGAGACCGTATAGCGATTTCTTCAACAAGCATGCTTCATTCGGTTGACTGCTTACCCCCTCTGGAACACGCATGTACACTTTTTCCTGGAGAACGCCGTTTATAGGAACGCCGTTGTTACGTCCATTTGATGGATCTTCAGGTTTCGGTTCGTCGCAATCGCCAGAATCGCCCGTATAGTTAAAAGCTTTGCCACTGGAGCAAACGTCTCTTCATAGTCCACGTGCTTCCGCTGCTTGTACTCTTTGGCAACCAGGCGGGCCTTGTAGAGCACAAGATTCCCGTCAGCATCGGTCTTCAACGTGAACACCCATTTACTCGGCACAGGGCACCTCACCATCGTACAGGTTTGGTTTTTCTTCAAAGACCTTAGCTCGTCAGCTATTGCTTGCCTCCATTCCGTCTCGTGCGGATGACCGTCAACCTCATCGTAACATGTCGGAACCTGTTTGGATTCATCAGCAGCAGAAAGGGCTCTATAGGGGGCCATAAAATCAGCTAACCAACCTGGGGTCCTGCGCTCGCGACCACTAGACCTCGGAATACACTCCTCACAGTTGTTCCCATTCTTTGAGTGCGGTGGGAGCGCCGATGCGCCTTCTTCATTAG